ACCTGAGATCAGTTCAGCAGAAGCTGAGAGGAGACATCTGGTGTCACCTCACTGCTTTGTTGGAGTCAGTCTGGTTCAGTCGTGTGGCTTGGTCGGAGCTGACGCCACTGATTTTGCTGATCTACATCTGTGACGTGAGCCATGGAGTTTCTGTTAAGGTCAGCATTTAATGTTAATATTGTTCATCAGATTATTAAAGCATTAATGTAATTTAAAGATTTGTCTTCTAGGCGGATGCTGTTGTCCTTGTAGGAAGACATCAAGCCAATATTAAGTGTGGTAAATCTGTGAAATTGCCTTTTTGGTTTGATGCATTGACTAAGATGAGCCGAGCCGAGCTCCCAGCAGTCGAAGGTGCGTCCGCAATTACAGTTACCGCTACAACATGGCTACCCTCCCATGCAGCCACAGGTACCAGAGGAGCAGCAGGTGAGTATTTCTTTTATGAATATTTCTATTAAGTTAAGTTCTATGTTTAATTTTAGCCAAATTCAAAATTGCAGGTGTCCCGACAACCTGTACACCCACCCCAGGAGCCTCAGCAATCCCAACCAGTGCCCCAACAGCCACAGGTAACACCACTCCAGCAGGTGCCCCAGAGTATGCAGCCCCAGGCGCCCCAGCAGCCTGCATATCCATTCCAGGTACCACAGTGGCCTGTGAACCTACCCCAGCAGATTCAGGTGCCACATGTTAAAGTTTAATATATATTCAACTTTTAAGATATATTCTACATTTCATTTTGGCTAAATATTGTGTTCCAGGAGGCCCAGCTACCAGTCTACATCCCCAAGCGACGCCTGCAGGTTTCCAAACGACCTCAGCAGATTCCCCAGCATCCCGTCTACCCATCCAAGCGGCCCTCAGGTCCCCAAGAAACCCCAGCGACCTCGCTACCTGCCCAAGCAGCTTAGCTACCCACTGCAGCAGGTACCATAGAAGAATGGTTTCCCACTCAAGCAGCGCAAACAGCCCTTCCCCCTATCATAGACTAGCTATGTGCTCAAGATGCCCCAGATGCTGCTGCATCCTTTTTCCTAAAGGCTGTACATCCGGCCTCAGCAGAACAGATGTTATCCTTATCCTACTTCTGCCAAAATGTTTTCAAATGGTGAGCTGTGATCACTGGCTCATTATCATATGAAGACAAGTGAGTCAGCTTTTTCTAACTTGAATTTCTTCCAGGTACATCACCTCTGGAGGAAGTAACGCTACTGGGAACTGCTATAGGCTTGGGACTGAGTGTACATGTGAAGGGTATATTTATCTCTGCAGATGGTTGATTTTAACGTTTCCAATATCTCTTTATATCTCTTTCTGTTTCAGGAAGCACAACCTGGGTGTTTCAGAGTCTGCTCTCAACGGAGCCATTACATGGATGTATTGAAATAAACTAATGTGTCCTGATCTTGGTTGAGAATCTTTTGAAAACAAAAGTCTGGTAGCTATTCAACAGAAGTGGCCTGAGATCAGATTTGATGTAACACTAGTTTCATACCTGCTGTGAGGTTGTATTAAACATATTTTATTCATGAGCACAGTAGATCTTGACAAAAGACGAGGTTGAAGCTGTTTACCTGCTTTTCTTTTACTGTTTTAGATGAATGGAAAACAAGTTGGATTTTGGTTTTATACATCAGTTTTCTATGTGGTTGATCTATTGGAAAAACCCTGAGCTAAACTTGTCTATTTGTACACTAAGCTCTTGTGGGTTAAAAGAGTTCTCAAACCAAACATTAGCTCATGTCGTCCTTTAGCCTGGTAACTTCTGCCCTAATAAGAGCAGGGATTGTTTGTTTGCTCTCCCGAGACGTGAATACTTCTAGTTGACCTTTCCTTTAGTTGTTATACAACTCCCCGGATCACCTTGGTTACTGCTGATGATAAGGAGGCCCTGTCTCATACTGCAGATAAGTAATGGGTCATGGTTCCCTCAGTCGGACCTGGCCTGTGTGCAGAGTTTCATTAAGACAACTGAACAAGATGAGAATTTAAACTAAAAGAGAAAAACTTTTAACACATGAAATCAATTTTTTTTTTAGGCCGGAGATGAACTCTAGTAAAATTAAAATGGCAACATCTGTCCATCCAAAATCAAACTGCTTTAAATAGTTTGCACAACAAGTGTTGTTGTTGGAAAATTGTCTCAATTCATGAATTTTACTTTTACAACCTAATATATGAATGTAAAAGTAAAATTGATTTGATCCCTTATTTCTCTATATAAAGTTTAAAAGTCATGCATCA